GAGGAGATCCGCGCCGCGCGCCGGGAGCTGGAAGAAGAGAAACTCCGCGTGGAGCGGCTCAAGGTTGGGGGCGGGAGGGGGCGCCTGCCTAACCCGGGCAATGAAGTGGAGGTGTCTGTGAGAGTCAGTTCGGAGGACCAAAGGAGCCTCTGCCTAATCATGGGGGTTTATTGATTTCCAGCTTGAGAGAGGGGGTGGTGGTGATGGGGACATTTGTTCCACCTTTGGGAAGAGTGTGGGGCAGTGGAGATGTTTGTTCAGCTTTGGGGTAGGGAGCGGCCAATGGGGACGTTGATTTCACTTTTGGGGGTGTCTGTCCCATTCTAGAAAGGCTGAGGAGATGGATGGGTGTTTTTCCCAGCTTGGGAATGCTATGGGCTGGTAATGGGGTGTCTGTCCCACCTGGCATTGTTGGGGATGGAGGGCAGTGAGGGCACGTACCCCAGCCTGAGGGAGAGATGTCTGTCCCATCTGGGTAATTGTGGGGCAATAAGAAATCTGCCCAGCATGGGGGATCTGGAGGGGGCCCTACATAAGGTGGGATAGTCCATATGCCCTGCCCGTGTCCAGAGGAAGTCCCTCCGGGAACGTTGGCTAATGGACGGGGTGGCTGAGGAGCCAGAGCGACCCCAAGACCCCACCTCGCAAGACTCCCAGTCACCTGAGGGCCAGGCTCAGGCCCGCATCCGGAACCTGGAAGACAGCTTGTTCACGTGAGTAGGGTCCCTGCTTGATGGCTTTGCCCCAGCCTGACTAGGTTGAGACCCACCCTCAGACCATTCTGGGGAGGCAGCAAGTTGAGACTGCAGGGGAAGGGAGGGGGAGTGGTCCATTGAGCCTGGGGACCAGGGTCCTAGCAGCCCCTCTCTTCCCCAGACTCCAGTCTCAGCTGCAGCTGTTGCAAAGTGCATCCACAGGTGCCCAGCACAAGCCCTCAGGCAGGCCCACCTGGCGCAGACAGGTGAGGAGCTTGGGGGCAGATGGTGGGGGGAGGGGTGTGGCCAGCAGGGCCCAAAGCAGGACGCCTCCAAGTACAGTTTATATGCTAGGTCCTCTGCTACTTCTTTGCTCTGTGGTCTATGGGCCAGTCTCTTTCCGTGCCCAAGCCTCAGTTTCCCCATCTCTAAACTGAGCACAAGAACAGCACACACGTGGAAGAGATGTGAGAGAGATTTGATGAGATCATAGCTTAGTACCCGGCACAGGCGTGAGGGAACATTTTGATATATGGTTGCTGGTATGTTCTGAATGAGGAAAGTAGTCAGAAAATGTGGGGAAGTGCTCATGGAATTTGGCCTTAAAGGTAGGAAAGGGTCACCACGAGATGCTCTCATAATTTGAGGCATCTATATAGGGTTTCTGGGTTTTGAAGGTTTGTTTTGGTAATGTCTTTATAAAGATACAGTCCACATGCCGCACAACACGCAGGCTTTTGAAAATCAGGACACATTCACAGTAAAATCTGGCTCTCTGGGTCGTCCATGGAGCCCAAAGTTCCAGCAACATTTGTGCCTGGCCACAGTGAGGCGTGGGTTTTCCACAGTCCCCACCTCTCTTGGTGCCTTATCTTGGCTCCCAGATGGCTGTCACAGGACAGAAAAGGAGAACTTCAACCAGGATGGGATGCACTTGTTGGGTTTTTAGTCTAAGCTGGGAGTTCCTTGCTAGAGATGTGCAAGGCCTGCTTCCTGGCCCACGGTCCAGATGAGGAGATGGGGTACAAAGAGTCTGTGAGGGGGAGCCCAGGATGTGGGGGAAGCACTTGAGTGAGGTTGGGAGTTCAGGGAAGGCTTCTTGGAGGCAGTGACATCTATGCTGAATCTGGGTGGGAACCAGGAAGTAAGAGAAAGGGAATTCCAGGCAGAGGAAACAGCCTATGCAAAGGCCTGAAGGCTGAAAAGAGGGTAGGATCAGGGAACTGTGAGGACATCTGTGGGGTTTGGTCTAGCTGGCCTGCAAGGCTGTCCCCAGCTCCCCTCCCTGAGCTCTTCTTCCACTTGCTCACATCTTCCTCTCACTGCCTTCCACTCCCTACCCCCATCTCCAGCCACACTGACCCCTTTTTCTATTCCTTGAACTTACCTAACTCATTACAACCCCAGGACCCTTGCACTTGCTGTCCCTGCCATCTGGAATGCCCTTTCCCACCTCTTGACTCAAGGCTGGCTCTTCTTACCTTTCAGGACTCTGTTCAATGTCACCTCTGCCAGGAGGCCCTCTAGCATCTTATACCTGAAGGAGGCACCCCATCACTTCCCAGGCACTCCCCAGACCCTCATCCTGCATTTTTTCTCCTGCTATAGCCTTTTTCACTCCCTGACTATATATATATATTTGTATTTATGTTTATCACCTGCCTCCTCCCACTGGAGTGTAAGTCCAATAGCAAAAGGCTTAAGTGTCTCTTAAGTAAGCTCAGTAGCTGGCAGAGTAGGTCCCCAGTACACAGGGATTGGCTGCATGGACACAGTATTGATTAAGCACCTACTGTGTGCAAGGCAGTGGAGCAGATGGAGATAAGACAGATGAGGAAGGCCTGAGGTACAATAGAGGGTTTAGTCCTCAAGGCAATGGGGAGCCATTGAGGGTTTTTGAGCAGGGGAGGGGCACTGGCATGCAGGAGGCTGGTGGTGGAGATGGGCTGGCCTGACCTTGTTCCTGCCATTCCTGCAGGGTCACCGTCCTCTCTCTGAGCCCACTGTGGAGGCAGGTCCTGCAGGTGGGTATTTTCAGGTCTGGGGGTCCCCAGAGGAAGGGCCTGAATCTCACTCTGTTGCCCCATCTCTCCTCTCCCCTTCTTCCCTGACTCCTCCAGGCCAGACTGACCTAAACAAGAGAGCCTCCCTACCAGCTGGACCAGTGGTCACATACCCAGAGCCCCACTCTGAGCCCAGAGATGAGGCTGTTGGGGTTCCACCCACCCCGAGGCTGGTCCCTGGGGCAGCAGGGGCTGCCTCAGAAGCCAATGGCCCCTGCAGTGGATCCACCCCCACTACAGAGCAGGAGCCGTGTCACGGGGTGACAGCGTCTGAGCAAGGAGTGAATGAAGCCAAAGGGGGAGGTGTGGTGAAGGTGGTGTGGGAGGGGCTGAGGACCACAGAGGACTGTGCCATGGGGGCCACAGGCCCAGAGCTGGAGGCTAAGGTGGAGGAGATGGTGCTGGAGGCCATCGGGGACAGGCAGGAAGCCGGGCGCCCAGAGCTCCCAGTGTGGGTCAAGGAGGACAGGGGCGACATGGAGGTGGTCTGGGAAGGGGTGGGAGGCACAGAGGGCAGCGACTCAGAGGCCACTGGGGAGGTGGGCAAGGGCCTGGAGGTTGCACAGACCAGCTCCGCAAGGCTCCAGGGGGGACGTGGAGGGAGCAGCTTCTGCAGGAGGGAAGGTGCCCCCAGGGGAAGCCCTGACGGTAATGGGCGGGGAGACTTGGGAGGAGAGGAGGGGTCCTTCATTTGGGTGGAGAGAGTGACTCTCAATGAGGAGTGGGAGGAGCTGGTGGTGGAGGGGTTGGAAGAGCCAAAATCACTAGGAAGGGAGGGAGGAAATGAGAGTCCACTGGGGGCAGAGGGTGGAGGCAAGGAGGAAACGTGGGCGGTAGAGAGGGGGCTGGCAGAGGAATCTGCTGGGAAGAAGGGAAGCGAGGGAAAGGTGGACACAGAGCCAGAAGGGGCAGAGATGTCGCTAGCAGAGAAAAGGAAAGGAAGCGAGGAATCCTTGGAGCCGGAGAGGAGAGATGAGGAAAAGGTGGAGACGGAGCAGGAAGGAGGCGAGGACCCATTGTTGGCAGAAAGAAAGGAAGTTGAGGGACCTTTGAGGGCAGAGAGGGAAAGAGGTGAGGAGCTGTTGGGAGTAGGGGAGAAAGGAAGTGAGGAAAAGCTTGAGGCAATCAAAGAACCTTTGGTGACAGGGAGAAAAGAAAGTGAGGCATCACTGAAGGCAGAGAGAATGGGAGGTGAGGAACCAGTAGAGGCAGAGACAAAAGGAGATGAGGCATCACTGAAGGCAGAGAGAACGGGAGGTGAGGAACCACTGCAAACAGAGACGACCCAAGGGGTCAAGGAAGATCTGAGTCCAGAAGAGGAGAGAGAGTCAGGAAGAGGAAAAGAATGTCAGGCAGAGGGGGTGAGCGAGGCAGGGGCTTCCCTGGGGACCAAGGAGGAACCAAGTCTGGAGGAAGAAGGACAGCAGCCCCAGGAGAAGCAGGAAGTCTCCCTGGAGGAGGAAGCGGAAAAGCCCCAAACCCCTGCTGAGGGCCAGGACCCCTCTGGGGATGCCACACCCCTCCTGGCAGAGACCCCAGCTCAGGAGCAGCCTGCTGAGTGCCAGCCACTGCTTCAGGTGGAGGGGCCCAGGGCTAACCCCAGTGCCCACGCCGTGCCCACCTATGCACCTGCCCGGCAGCCAGAGCCATCTGCCCCTCCTGAGGGCGAAGAGGCGAGGGGCCCTAAGCAGAAGACGTGCCAGTGTTGTGCGGTGATGTGAGCCTGTGCCCTCCACCCAACTCCCAGCTCCTCTCACAGCTACCTCGGCCTCTTGGCATCCAGCAGAGGGTCCCAGGCTCAGACAGGGCACCATGGGATGGGCCTTGGCACCTGGGAGCCAGCTGGCCCACATGTCCGCCTCCACCTGGGCTTCCGGACCCCTTGCCTGCTGCCTCTGACCCTGGCTCCCTTCGGTGACAAAGCCTTTATACTTGAAAATAAAATGTTAAGCATTCAGATGGTGTGAGCACATATGCTGCTGACACAGAACCACCTCACCGTCTCCTGGTGAGAAGTGGAGGGCTTCTGTCTGCTAGAATCAAAGATTATGAGTCGGTGAGAGTGTAGATGTGGCTGCTGTAACAAAAAGACCTCCAGATCCAGTAGCTATCAAAACATTAAAAATTTATTTCTCTGGGCACTTCTGATCCATGCAATCGGGAACTCTGGTTCCTTTCCATTTATTGCCCCACCTTCACCTTGGGTATGGCCAAAGCTGTATCACAGGGCACAGCAATGCTCCAACTCATGGGAAAGAGAAGAGAATGCAGAGGAGCCCCGGCTAATGCCCAGACTCGGTATTGGCACACGTCCCCTCTGCTTCCGCTCCACCCGTGAGAACTCAGTCCCTGGCCACGCCCAGCCGCAAGGGAGGCTGGGAGTGCGCCCAGCTACAGTTCTATTATAGCAGCAGGACGGATTTGGGGAGGCAGCTGCCACTTTGTATTTCATATATTTTCCTTTGCTCCCTCATCCATCCATATATTCCCTGTAGGGCCAGGCCCTTCACTGTAGGGGTCCTTGAATCGCAGCTCTTCCTGGCTGGGTGTCCTCAGGCAAGTGACTCAGCCTCTCTGAGCCTCAGTATCTTCATCTGTCAAATGAGCACCCTTCTCCCCACCTGGGATGTTTTCAGGCCAGAACCTGGAGCCCGGGGTGGGGCCCAAAAGGCCCAGCTCCTCGGGTGTGGGCAGGAAGTGTTTCTCATACCCAGAGTCAAGTGGGGCCAAGGTCTGAGGGGGCTCCATATCTGGTACCTGCTCCATCTCCTCCACTTCCAGTATGGGCGAGTCCCCAGGGGGCTGGGCCTGGGGCACCTCCTGGGAATAGAGGAGGCTGAGATTCTTTCCCTCCTACCCACCAAATCTCACCTATCCCCCACTGCCCCAGCTTTCCCCAGCACCCCCAGAGGGCCTCGACAAGCCAGGCTTTTTGCTCACCTCCATGTTGGGCAGGCTAAAGTTCCTGTTGGCAGGATCAGGAACCTTCTCCCAGGCCCACTGGGGTAGAACCTTGTGCCGTAGGTGGACGCACCTGGCAAGTGGGTAAGACTCAGGGCAGGGAATCCGGGTGGCTAGACACCCAGGCCCAGATCACAGGGTCCAGGAACATTGCAGAGCCCCAAGGTGTCGTCCCCTAACTACCCCCTCCCCCCAAGCACAGCTAATGCCCAGCTGCTCTCCCCACCTGGGAACAGACCCACGTGTCTGACAGCCTCACCTTCCAGAGGCAGCTAGGCTCAGGCCACAGCCTGTCAGGAGCAAAACCCACAGGAGAAGGACGCCTGGCAGAACTTTCCACTTCAGGGTGTTATCTGGTGGGGGGAGAGGCAGAAGAACATTTGGACACTGGGGCGGCTGGGAAGGGTGGGGTATGGCTCATAGATGGGGCAGGGAGCAGGTGGGTAAAAGAGCAGGGCTTATGAATGGGTAGGGGCTAAGAATGGGGGGGGGGAGCTAGCGGAAAGGTCAAAGTCAGGGATGGTGGGAAAGGGTCAGAGACACACATCACCTGATAATCCAAAACAGTATTTAGCAGAATCAAAATGCTCTGAGGAATTATAAATATCCACCCCCTCACTTTAAAAGGTTGCCCACCCACTGGAGCTCAGTAATGAATATATAACCCCCTCAAATGGAGCAAGCCCCTTCCATGTCAGTCACACCCCAGCCCCTCTACCTGGTAGGTGAAATCGGAGGCTTGGGCCAGGTGGGCCCTGTCCCGCGATGGTGGACGCGGTCACCCACAGCTCGCAGGGACCCCAGGGAAGGTCGGGCAGGGTGATGGTCTGGGTGCTGCCACTCACTGAAGGACACACCAAGAGAGGTTAGGGTAGCAGTCAAGTCCTATCGCAGGACCTTTGCACATGCCATGCAGTCTGCCACACTCTCCCAGATATTCACATGGCTATCTCCTTACCTCCTTCAGCTCTTCGCTCAAAGGTCACCTTCTCAGTGAGGCCTTCGCTGACCATTTTCCCCTCCACCCAAATTAAAATAGCACCTGCTTCACTACCCATCTTCCTTGCTTCATTTTCTATCCAGCACTTATCACTATTTAACACACTGCTTAGATACTGTTTACTTTGTCTATGCCTGCATGTCCCCCATTAAAAAGTCAGCTCCACAAAAGCTGTATTCCTAGGACCTGGCTCAGTGCCTGGCACATAGAAGACACTCAAAAATGATATACAGTTGACTCTTGAACATGGAGGTTAGGGGTGCTGACCCTCCATTCAGTCAAAAATTTGAGTATAGCTTATAGTCTGCCCTCCTTATCCACCGTTCCTCTGTACCCTCACAGAGTCCCAAATCCGTGGATTCAACCAAATGCAAATCGTGTAGTAACATAGTATTTATCCTTGAAAAAAGTCACATATAAGTGGACCTGCGCAGTTCAAACCTGTTTCGTTCATGGATCAACGGTATATTTGAATAAATAAAAAAAATTGCATGAGTATCGTATCCCTCACCTGCACGGAATCCAGTGAAGGGAAATTCACACCAGGTGAAGGGAAGAGGTTTGCATTTCTCGGAATTGTTTTTGTTTACTTTTTAACTGAATCGCCCTTTTTGGTTTATAGGCCCAAAGAGGAAGTAGCTTTTTGGTTTGTTACAGGATTATAGGAGACGTGAACATGGATCAAGCTATAACTGCCACAGAAAGATGTCCAAGCTAAGTCATCAGGTGAGAAAAAGAAAGTTGCAAAACATCAGTCATAAGCCTCAGGGGCCTAGCACATGGTCCTCTTTTAATAATAATAACAGGTACAGGTATATATAAATAAATATACATGATTTTTAACCTAACGATATCTATCTATCTATCTACACATGCAAGGTGCAATCATACTATGCACAAACATAGGCAAAGTAACTATGTTAAAAAATAGGCTTTATCAGTTAGAGGCAAATGCTGAAGTTCTGAATTATTTAGGGGTGAAAAGGCACCAAAGACTCTAAAAAAATGTGAGGGATAAACTGAAACAAGATTGGGAAAAGAGGTAATTATTGAAACTGGATGGTAGGTACATGAGGGTATGTTATTTTTTTTGTACTTAAAATTTTTTTTAATTTCTCTTTCTCCATTTTATTTTTTATTTGGTGGCGGGGAGGCAATTAGGTTTACTTATTTATTTATTTATTTTAATGGACGTCCTAGGGACCAAACCCAGGACCTCCTGCATGCTAGGCATGCACTCTACCACTAAGCTACACTGTTCCCCACCATACTTTTGTTTGTGCTTGAAATTTCCTATAATAAAAAAGTTTAGTGGGGAGGGGGTATAGCTCAGGGGTAGAATGCATCCTTAGCATGCAGGAGGTCCTGGGTTCAATCCCCAGTACCTCTATTAAAAAAAATGCTTAAAACTTTCAAAAAGCACAACTCCTATCTCTATGTTAATACATGCATGGAAAAATATGGAAGCTGCATTGTCAGGATCTGTGAAATGAGGAGGATGCTGAGGAGGATGCTGATACACAAGTATACTTCTTTAATGTGTCAGTTTTTAAACAAGAACAGATAACTTTTGTCATTAGAAAAAAGGGTATTTTCACTTTTTTCCTTGCTTTTTCTTTTTATTGTACCTATATAAGATGACAGATGTTAACTAAACTTACCGTAGGAATCATTTCACAGTATGTAAGTCAAACCATTATGCTGTACACCTTAAACTTTCAGTGATGTCTATCAATGATATTGCAATAAAACTGGGGGGGAAAGGGTAACAAAGATATTTTTTAAAATGAATTTGTGGAGGGATATATAGCTCAGGGGTAGAAAATGTGCTTAGCATGCACAAGGTCCTGGGTTCAATCCTTAGTACCTCCATTAAAAATAAATGAATAAACCTAATTATCTCCCCTCCAAAAAATTTTTTTAAACCAGAAATTAAAAAAAAAAAGAAATCTGTGCTCAGAACAAAAATTTAGCATATACCTAAAGGTATGAAAAAGAAATAAAAATCATACATAATTCTACAATGCCTATGGACATTGTGGGGGAATTTCTTTTCATATTTGTGCCTCTGCTTTGCTCAGTGCCAGGTTTATTTTATAAAAATGGAACCATCCTATGGAGTTTTATAACCTCTTATCTTTCTCACTTAATGTAATGTGACAGGCATCTTTCAATGTCAATAAATATAGATTGGTATCTTCATTCTTAATGGCCAAATGGCAGTCTATTAAATTGATAGCCACCAGGGTTATTATTCACTAGGGAACCAATGATACCACGTGTTCTCCTAGGGGCTGAGAGGGAACCAAAGGGTCCCATCCCGGGGCAAGAGGAGGGGTAGACTGATAGGAGTGTCTAGTATGGGCAGGGAGCAGGGGCACAACACAGTGGAGCTCACCATTCATGCAGACAGAAGGCCTCGTCCCACTCCGGGCACACAGAGTGTAGTGGGTGAGATGGCCCCGAAGTTGATGCCTTGGGACCTCTTCCCAGGCTACCGCAGGGGTCCCTGGAGGGGAATCCTGGAGTCGCCAAAGCACTGGCCCTGCTAAGGGTGCTGGGGAGAGAATGTCAGTGAGTCAAGGTCTGCCAGGGTTCCAGGACCCTCCATCCTCCAGCCTCACCACTTACCTAGTTCCTCTCTGAACTTCCAGACTGAGGGGGAAGGGGCCAAACCCCAAGGAGTGACTGCTGTCACCGTGATTCGGTAGGGGACCCCTCCTTCAAAATCCCCTGGGTGAGGGAAGAGTAAAGACCAGTTAGAGTTGGCTCTCTTCCTCCACTCATTTCTTATTTTGTAGGAATTTTCATATGTGTCCCCAGAAAGACACCCTGAGATAAGGATTTAGGTAAAAGTAATTCTTCTGGGGAGGTAACCCCAGAAAACACCAGTAGGGCAGTGGGGAAGCGAGGCAGGGAAGGAAAGGCAGCCAGTTAACGGTGTGTTAGAGAACAGATTCCCAATATGGCCAACCAAGGCTCAGTCCCGCTGGGGGCCTCTGGGTGGCAGCACAGAGCGCAGGCCTGAGAGCCAGCCCACCGCAGGAGGGAGGGAGCTGGGGTATTTATCCATCAACCATTATGGGTC